TGACCTCGTGATCTGCCCGCCTTGGCCTCCCAAAGGGCTGGGATTACAGGGGTGAGCCACTGCACCTGACCAGGTTCTCTTCATTTCAAATGAGGAGTATGGGGTGGGATAGGATAGAAGGAGGAGTTGGAAGTCACACCGTGATTTAAGCCCTACCTCAACCTACCAAACAGGGAATCTTTAACAAATTCAGACTCAGTTTCCCTATCTCCAGAATTAGCATCAGGGCAGGTCAAGAGTTTATTGGATGCCTGGATTTAATCAAACAGAGCTTTACTATTTCTTCTTCAAGATCACTGAATTTGAGTACTTAGAATTAATTAAAGCCTCCCAATTCTCTTGAACACTCTTCTCTATTGTCTTTGGCCATAAAATTCTACCTATATTTTCTCTGAATTTTAAGTCTCCCTGCCTAGATTGTTGCAGACATATCCTATGGCAGGGACATTTTTTTCCCAGGGATCTTGCTTTTAGCTGCATGAAGCTTCAGGATGGTGCAGGGGGACAGAAACCTCTTTTACACTGAGTCTTGTTTCTGCGCCAGTTCTGTGCCAGGAGGGGAAAAAACGCTAGCTACACATGTGCTGTGGCCAGGCCTTCTTTTGTAGGATTCCCTCTGGCCTCCCTCTCTTCTATAGTCCCATCACCCAAACGCTCTCTGTCATCTGCCTCTTCTCAGGTTTAGTGATTTCCCTACTAGTGTTTAGCTTCTGCCATACTGCAGGATATTTTCTTTAATAGGCCTTATTTTTGAGAGCAGTTTTAGGTTCATAGCAAAATTGAATGGAAAGTATAGGGGTTTCCCATATGCCTCCTACCCCTACGTAGGCACAGCCTCTACTACCACTTACCACCCCACCAGAGTGATTCATTTGTTACAATCAATTAACCTACACTGATGCATCATTATCACCCAAAGTCCATAGTTAACACTGAGATCCACTCTTGGTGCTGTACATTCTATGGATTGGGACAAATGTGTAATGACATCTATCCTCCATCATAGCACCATACAGAATAGTGTCATGGCCATAAAAAAATTCCCTGTGCTTCACCTATTCAGCCCTCCCTACCTTCAACCACTGATTATTTTACTGTCTCCAGAGTTTTCCCTTTTCCAGTATGTCATATAGTTGGAATCATGGTATGCAGCCTTTTCAGGTAGGCTTTTTTTTTTTTTTTTCCCCACTTAGTAATGTACATTTAAGTTTTCTCTATGTATTTTTTTTTTTTTTTTTTTTTTTTTGAGGTGGAGTCTTGCTCTGTCAACCAGGCTGGAGTGCCGTGGCGCAACCTCAGTGGTGCAGGTTTTTGTATGGACATCAGTTTTCAGACTCACTTGGGTAGATACCAAGAAACAATCCACGACTGGTGGATCATACGGTGACTGTGTTTAGTTTTGTAAGAAACGGCCACACTGTCTTCCCAAGCAGGTGTACCATTTTGCATTCCCGCCAGCGATAATCAGCTTTTGTTGCTCTACTTCCTCTCCATAATTTGGTGTTCTCAGTGTTTTGGATTTTGGTCATTCTAATAGGTATGTCATTATTTTAATTTCATTTCCCTAATGACGTATGATGTTGAACATATTTTCATATTTATTTGCCATCTGTATACCTTCTTCTTTGGTGAGGTATTTGTTCAGGTCTTGTGCCTTTTTTTTTTTTGAGACAAAGTCTCACTCAGGCTGGAGTGCAGTGGTATGATCTCGGCTCACTGCAACCTCCGCCTCCTGGGTTCAAGCCATTCTCCTGCCTCAGCCTCGCAAGTAGCTGGGATTACAGGTGCCCTCTACCATGCCCAGCTAATTTTGTGTTTTTAGTAGAGACAGGGTTTTACCATGTTGGCCAGGCTGGCCTCAAACCCCTGACCTCAAGTGATCCGCCTGCCTCGGCTTCCCAAAGTGCTGGGATAATAGGCATGAGCCACCATGCCTGGCCCCATTTTTAAATTGGGTTATTTTCTTACTGTTGAGTTTTAAGAGTTCCTTGTATATTTGGAATAATAGTCCTTTTTTCAGATGTGTCTTTTGCCATGTATATTCTCCCCGTGTATTGCTAGTCTCATTTCCTTAACATTGTCTTTCACAGAGCAGAGGTTTTTAGTTTTGATGGAGTCCTGCTTACCAGTTATCTCTTTAGTGGATCATACCTTTAGGGCTATATCTAAAAAGTCATCACCATGTCCAAGGTTATCTAGATTTTCTCCTATGTTATCTTCTAGGAGTTCATAGTTTTGTATTTTACATTTAGGACTGTGATCTATTTTGAGTTAATTTCTATAGGTGTAAGATCTGTGTCTAGATTAAGTGTTTTTGCATGTGAATGTCTAGTTCTTCCAACACCATTTGTTAAAAACACTATCTTTTCTCCATTCTGTTGCTTTTGCTCCTTTGTCAAAGATCAGTTGGTTATATTTATGTGGATTTCTGGACTGTCTATTCTGTTCTATTGATCAATTTGTCCATTCTTTTACCAGTACTACCTCATCTTGATTACTGTAGCTTTATAGTAAGTCCTGAAGTCAGGTAGTGTCAGTCTTCCAGCTTGGATTTTTTTCCTTAAATATTGTATTAGCTATTCTAGGTCTTTTGCCTCTCTCTATAAACTTTAGAATTCGTTTGTCTATACCCACATCGTAGCATTTTTATTAAGTGTTTATATCTGGAGAAAACATGCAACCTTCCATTGCCATATTCCTTTGTAAGTCTCATTTCTCAACCCCATCTATGAGGTAGAATTCCTCTCTTTTTAAAAATCTCAATTTAATTTTTATCTACTTGCCTTGATTTGTGCAATGGTATAGAAACGCCTGAGTTTCTTCCTCTCCCTGAGAATTATTGGGAGCTTCCTCTATTATTTTTCTGTTTCACTGGACATGCCTGATATCCTTTCCAGCATCTGGTTAATTTCTTGCATCTGGGTATACATTCCCCCTCCCTCTTGGTTATCAGTTTCAAGCTCTCTTGATTCGATCAGTGGATTTAAAGGCAGATGGATTGATTTTGACTTCTCACTAAAGAAGGAACACAGCCTAACAGAATCAGCCTGCCATTTAGAGCTCCTCCTACCTGGTAACACAAGGAATAGTCAACTGGAGCTTGATAGTGGATTAAAGACCCAAGGGGAGTCCTGTGATTCATTCTCAAATTTCACAAATCATCCTTCAGATGGTACATTTTAGTCCTTCATACCTCATGGTCCCACTTCATACGTGGTTCATAGGCCAGATGCCTTTTCAATTAACATGGGAAACAAACATGAAAAAGAGCATTGAAATACCATTTTTCCTATTTTTATCCCTAAAATGTTGTGTTTTCTACTCTGATTTTTTTTTGAGACGGAGTCTCGCTCTGTCGCCCAGGCTGGAGTGCAGTGGCGTGATCTCGGCTCACTGCAAGCTCCGCCTCCCGGGTTCACACCATTCTCCTGCCTCAGCCTCCCAAGTAACTGGGACTACAGGCACCTGCCACCGTGCCTGGCTAATTTTTTATATTTTTAGTAGAGACAGGGTTTCACCGTGGTCTTGATCTCCTGACCTCATGATCTGCCAGCCTCTGCCTCCCAAAGTCCTGGGATTACAGGTGTGAGCCACCGCACCCAGTCTTTACTCTGATTTTTAATGGCTAAGTGAATAAAAAAAGGGTTTTAAATATTTTTTAAACTGAACAATGGCCCATACAAAAGCTTCCTGACACGTGTGTAGAAAGTCATAGTTTACAAAAGGCTGGCCATCAGGAGCAAGGCAGGCTGCTGCACTCAAAGGCATTGAAAGTAATGTCGACTATAAGAAACTAAGTGGAAAAACACTTCCCATGGAAAATGCCCTCCTCTGTGTTTTTAAATTTTCTTTTCTTTTACTGTTTGAGATGGAGTCTCCTTCTGTTGCCCGGCCTGGAGTGCAGTGGTGCAATCTCGGCTCACTGCAACCTCTGCCTCTCAGGTTCAAGCAATTCCTGCCTCATCTCTCAAGGAGCTGAGACTACAGGCACCCACCACCACAACTGGCTAATTTTTGTATTTTTAGTAGAGAAAGGGTTTTGCCATGTTGGCCAGGATGGTCTCAAACTTCTGACCTCAGGTGATCACCCGCCTCAGCCTCCCAAAGTGCTGGGATTACAGGTGTGAGCCACCACACCAGCTTTAAATTTTCTTTTCTTTTTTTGAGCCAAGTTTTACCCAGGCTAAGTGCAGTGGCATGATCTTGGCTCACTGCAACCTCCACCTCCCGGGTTCAAGCCATTCTTGTGCTTCAGCCTCCTGAGTAGCTGAGACTACAGGCATGCACCACCACATCCGGCTAATTTTTGTATTTTTAGTAGAGATGGGGTTTCGCCATGTTGGCCAGGCTGGTCTCGATCTCCTGAACTCAGGTGATCTGCCTGCCTTGGCCTCCCAAAGTGTTGGGATTACAGGTATGAGCCACTGCACCTGGCCTAAATTTTGTTTTCAAAGAACCTCTTCAGTCTGTTGCTTCCAAGATGACCTCTCTGACCACATGCTTCTCATGAGAAGAGAAGAAGCTTCTCTTACACATTTCTAGACTTTCTCCAGACTGAGTAAGATCCTCAAGGTGGAAAATTTCGATGAGAGGATCCTTATAAAGTCCAAAGGAGTGATGGAACTTCTAGGGAGTTGTGGATGCCTGATGTTTAATATGTAATGCCTTCTCACTTTCCAAATGCATTCTGATACGGGAATCTGTTAGGTTCAGTTAGCAGAAACACCCAGAACACTTCTCAAGGTATTAGACTAGAGAATGACCTGGGGTGATCCACAATAATTTCCTGTTTCTCAGAAGCAAAGAAGACAGAACTTTGGGGAACGCCAACATTGAAAGGGTGAGTGGAGAAGTCCACAAAAGAGCACGATGAGAAGTGGCTGAACTGCAGGAGGAATCCAGGACAGAGGGGTGGTATGGACTCCTCCATCAGAGGGGTGATATGGACTCCTCAACATCCTCCATATCACCCAGGGAGGGAGAGATCTATGTATGCAGCCATGAGATCATGGAAAAAATCTGACTTCACCCCACCCAAATCTGACTTCACCCTGGTGACCAGGGTGAGAGCTGGTTTAATGGAGGGGCAGAAGTCAGATTTGGGTGGGGTGAAGAGTGAATGATGTCAGAGGCTGATCAACATTAACATTTTGTTGAGCATTATATGCAAGGCGCTAAAGCCACCAGCCTTGGTTTTGATCCTACACATACGGCAGCAATTTTCTATTTTATTTTGATAGCCCAGACACGTGATGCATTTATCTTACTAAACAATCATATTTGGCTGGGTGCAGTGGCTCACATCTATAATCTCAGCACTTTGGGAGGCCAAGGCGGGCGGATCACCAAGTCAGGAGATTGAGACCATCCTGGCTAACACAGTATAACCCTATCTCTACTAAATATACAAAAAATTAGCTGGGCGTGGTGGCGGGCGCCTGTAGTCCCAGCTACTTGGGAGGCTGAGGCAGGAGAATGGCATGAACCCGGGAGGCGGAGCTTGCAGTGAGCCGAGATCGTGCCACTGCACTCCAGCCTGGGCAACAGAGCAAGATGGAACTTGATCTGCACTACAGACAAATCAAACCTAATAGACATGTACAGAACATTTTTATCCAACAGCTTCAGAATACACATTTTTCTCCTCAGCACACAGAATTTTCTTGAGGATAGACCATATGTTAGGTCCCAAAACAAGTCTCAAATAATTTTTAAAAAGTAAAATTATATCAAGTATCTTTTCTGACCACAATGGAATAAAAATAGAAATCCATAACTAGAGGAACTTTGAAAACCACACAAATACATGGAAATTAAACATGCTCCTGAATGGTCACTGGTCACGAAATGAAAAAGGAAATTTTAAAATTTCCTGAAACAAATGAAAATGGAAGCACCATACCCAAACCTGTGATATAGCAAAAACAATATAAAGAGGAACATTTATAGCAATAAACACCTATATTAAAAATACAGAAAGACTTCAAATAAATAACCTAACTAGAAAAGCAAGGGCAAACCAAAGGCAAAATTACTAGAAAAATTTATGACCAGAGCAGAAATTAAAACATTGAGACTAAAGAAAATTACAAAAGATCAATGAAAAAAGGGTTTTTTAAAAAAATAGGTAAACAAGGTTGCTGTTTGGACTCTTGTGAAGACGGCTTGAACTGCCGCATGGTTCCCGGCCAACCAGGACAGGTTTATTTGTATCTATGCTGCTTATTTAAGTAATAAGACCATCGCAGAGGGAAGGCGAATCCCCGTAAGTTAGGCTGTTGAAAATCCTACAGCTACAGAGATTCAAGATGTGTGTTCAGAAGTTGGACTTAATGTATTTCTTGAGAAAAATAAAATGTACTCTAGAGAATGGAATCATGATGTCCAATACAGAGACAGAGTCCGGGTCCAGCTCAAACAGGAAGATGGCGGCCTCTGCCTTGTACAGTTCCTGGCATGTAAGTCAGTAATGTTGTATGCAGCAGAAATAACACCGAAACTAAAAAGGAGGACACAAAAAACAGGAGGTGGTGACCAAAGTCTTCAACAAGGAGAGGAAAGAAAAAAAAGGAAAGGAAAGAAAAAGAAGTAACCTAGTATCAGCATCGAGTTTGTGGTACTGCTGTCAGAAACATGAATGGAAGCTTTGAATTTGTATGGGAGGAAAACAGAAGCTTTTTTTGTATCATTTAACTGAACTGTGAACCCTTGTGAAAGATGGGAACCTCTCATCTTTGTCGTCAAAGTTGACAGTTAAATAAATTTATATCAGAAGTTTGCATCTCGCTTTTATGCAGTGTAAAAGAAGTTTTTAGTCTTTCAATGCAGTTTTTTGGAAGAAAAAATATTTTTAAATGGACAATGGACTGTACAATAAGTTACTTGAAATAAGTTACTTGTTTCAGATAAATTTCAATTCGATTTGAAATAAACATTGTGTCTACCTTTTCAGTTAATGAAATAAAATTTGAAACTGAAAAAAACAGTAGGCAAACAAAATTGGCAAACCTTTAGCTATACTAAGAAGAAAAGAGAGAAGGCCCAAATAAAATTATAGACAAAAGGAGACATTACAACTGTTACCACAGGAATTCAAAGGATCATCACAGACTATTATGAGCAACTATATGCCAATAAGTTGGAAAAAGTAGAAGAAATGGATAAAAGCTCTCAGCAAACTACATATAGAAAGAATATACCTCAACACAACAAGGACCATATTTGACAAACCCACAGCTAATATAATACCGAACAGGGAAAACTGAAAACCTTCCTTAAGATCTAGAACAAGGAAAGGATGTCCAGTTTCACCACTTTTATTCAACATAGTTCTAGAAGTCTTAGCCAGAGCAATTAAATAAGAGAAAGAAATAAAAGACATCCAAATGAGAAAGGCAGGTATCAAATTATCCTTGTTTCAGATGACATATTATATTTAAAAAAACCTAAAGATTCCACCAAAAAACTATTAGAACTGTAAATTTAATAAAATTGCAAGATACAAAATTAACATACAAATCAGTAGCATTTCTATATGCCAACAGTGAACTATCTGTAAACGAAACCAAGAAAGCAATTCCATTTACCATAGCTACACATAAAATAAAAGAGCCAGACCCATAGACTGTACCTGTAATCCTAGCCACTCAGGAGGCTGAGGCAAAAGGATCACTTGAGCCCAGGAGTTCAAGGTTGCAGCTACTTGTGATCACTCCACTGCACTCCAGCTTGGGTGACAGAGTGAGATCCCCATCTCTAAAAAAAAATAATAATAATAATGATAATAAAATAAAATATCTAGGAATAAACTTAATCAAAGAAGTGAAAGATCTCTACAATGGACACTATAAAACATTGACGAAAGAAACTGAAGTGGACACCAAAATACAGAAAGATTCCATGTTCATGGATTGGAAGAAATAATATTGTTAAAGTGTCCATACTACCCAAAGCAATTTATGGACTCAATGCAATCCCTATCAAAATACCAATGACATTCTTAACATAAAGAAAAAAACAATCCTAACATTTATATGGAACTGTAGAAGACTCCAAGTAGTGAAAGGAATCCTGATTAAAAAAAAGAACAAAGCTGGGGTATCATGTTACCTACATAATACAAAGCTGTACTAACTAAAACAGCAGAGTGCTGGCATAAAGACAGACACGTAGACCCATGGAACAGAATAGAGAACCCAGAAATAAACCTGCATATTTACAGCCAATTAATTTTTGACAAAGGTGCCAGGAACATACATTGGGGAAAGGACACGCTCTTCAATCAGTGGTGCTGGGGAAACTGGATGTCCATATGCAGAAGAATAAAACGAGACCCCATATTTCTCAATATATACAAAAATAAAATAAAAATGGATTAAAAAGTTAAATCTAAGACCTGAAGCTATGAAACTCCTAGGAGAAAACATTGGGGTAATTCTCCAGGACATTGGTCTGGGCAAAGATTTCATGAGTAAAACCTCATAAGCACAGGCAACCAAAGGAGAAATGGACAAATGAGGTCACATCAAGCTAAAAAGGTTCCACACAGCAAAGGAAACAACTAACAAAGTAAAGAGACAACCTACAGAATGGGAGAAAATATTCGCAAGTTGTTCAATTGAAAAGGGAACAATAACCAGAATATATAAGGAACTCAAACAACTCAATCGCAAAAAATAATATATATAAATGGGCAAAAGATATGAACAGACATTTCTCAAAAGACAACTTATAAATGGCCAACAGGTATATTTAAAAATGGTCAACATTACTAATCATCAGGGAAATGAAAATCAAAACCACAATGAGGTATCATCTCACCTCAGTTAAAATGGCTTTTAGCCAAAAGACAAAAAGTGTCAGATGCTGGTGAAGATGTGAAGAAAAAGGAATGCTCATACACTGTTGGTGAGAATGTAAATTATTACAGCCATTGTGAAAAACACTATGGAGGTCCCTCAGAAAACTAAAAGTATAACTATTAAATGATTCAGCAATTCCACTGCTGAGTATGTAGCCAAAATAAAATAACTCGGTATGTCAAAGAGATATCTGTGCCCCGTGTTTATTGCAGCACTATTCACAACAGTCAAGATATGGAATCAACTTAAGTGTCTACAAGACACTTAAGTTGATGAATAAAAAAAGAATACATATACAAAATGAAATATTACTCAGCCATAAAGAGAATTAAATCCTGTCATTTGCAACAACGTGGATAGAATGGGAGGACATGAGGTTGAGTGAAATAAGCCAGGTACAGAAAGACAAATATTACATACTCTCACTCATGTGTGGGAGCTAAAAAAATTGATCTTGTAGACGTAAAAAGTAGAATGATGGTCACAAGAGGCTGGGAAATGTAGTGGGGAGTGGGGAGATAAAAAAGGCTTTGTTAATGGGTACAAAATACAGTTATATAGAAGGAATAAGAGCTATGGTTTGGTATTACAATAGGGTGAATATAGTTAATAATAATATTGTATATTTCAAAATAACTAGACGATTGGAATTGGAATGCTTCTAACAAAAAGAAAAGGTAAATATTTGAGGTGATGGATATCCCAATTACCCTGTCCATTACACATCATATGCTTATATTGAAATATCACATGTTCTCCCTAAATATGTACAACTATTATGTATCCATAAAAATTTTTTTTTAAAAAACATAAATGGTCAGATTCAGGATATACTTTGAAGGGTTTTTGGCCCAAGACACTTCAAGGATAATGTCATTTGTCCAGATGGTGAAGATTGTGGGTAGAAGTTAGATATTCAGTTTGGGACACAGTAAAGTCTGTGATGCTATTAAACACTCAAGTTGAGATGTTGAACAGGCAGCTGCATGCATCAATATAGAGTTCAGGGATGAGTTTGAGGCTGGAGATATAAACTTAGCAGTTGTTAGGTTAATGATACTATTTAAAAGTCATAAAACTGGATGAGTTTATCAAAGGAATGAATGTAGATATTTCTTTATGCCTGAAAAAACTTCCTTTAACTAGTTTTGTAGTGCAAACCTGCTTACAGTGAATTCTTTCAGCTTCTGTTTGCTGAGAAAGTCTTCATTTGCTTTGATTTTGAAGAATATTTTTGCTGGATAAAGAAACCTAGGTTGACAGGTATGGTTGTTTTTTTTTTTTTTCAGTTTTTAAAAAATATTTCCATTACATTATGGCTTACATAATTTCGAACATAAAGTCTGCTGTTATTCTTATCTTTGTTCCACTGAACATAATGTATCTTTTTTCTTCTGGCTACTTTAAAATTTTTATGTTTGTTACTAGTATTCATCAGTTTGCATGTGACAATCTCTGACATGGGTTTATTTATTTCATTGGCGTTTGTTGGGTTTCTTGAACCTGTAGTCAAGTTTGGATCATTTGGGGCCATTATTTTTTCCATTTTTTTCCTGTCTCATTCTCTGTCCTCTCTGGGACTCCAATCACACATATGTCAAACATCCTACAGGTAACGGATGCTTTATTAATTTGTCTTTTTTTCCTGTGCTTCATTTTGAGTAATTTATATACTATGTTTTCAAGACTACTAATCTTTTCCTCTGCAGTGTGTAATCTACTGGTAATCTCATCCAATGTGTTTTTTAATTCAGTTTTTTTTTAACCTCTAGATATGTTTTTAAACGTGTATTTTATTTCTGTCATCATTATGGCAATGTTTTCCTCTACCTTCTTGAATATAAGGAACAGATTCATAAAAGCTCTTTTAATGTCCTTGACATCCATTATGTCTGTCATTTGGGGGCCTGTGATATTGAATTTTTTCTTTTCATTTTCGATTATAATTTTCTGCTGCTTTGCATACCTGGGAATTTTTTATTTGGTACCAGACATTTTGAATTTGTTTCTGGGCACTGGACTTTGTTGTATTCTTTTGAATATATATATTTTTTCTTTTGAGACTTGCTCTTAAGCTCTGTTAGGGTGGTTTTAGTCTATCTTTTGGCCCAGGGCTAATGTAACCCCACTGCTAAGATGATGCCCTTCTGAGGATTCTAAATGATGACCCATGTTTACAAGGTCTTTCCACTCTGGCTGGAGGAAGTACAAGCTATTCCACTCCTGCCTGCACTTCATTCATTGTTTTGTCTGCTCCTTTTAGGTGGTTCTTTCCCTGGTCTTTTTCTCATGTATATGCAGGTTAGTTCTCAGTCAAAACTTTAGGAGGACCCCTCTACAGATTTCCAGAGCTCTCTCTGTGCAGCTCTCTCTTCTCTAGTACCCTGTCGCACACATTCTAGCCGTCTTGACCTCTCTGAACTATGAGACCTATCTTCTCTAGTCTTCAAGATTATTGGGCTCTCTGTGGGTTTCTCCTCCATATGCTGTGGGCTGGAAATTGCCTCTAGGCAATAGGCTTGTGCATTAAGAGGGCTCATCTTATTCCTTTTCTGAGGTTACAGGCTTGCACTACCTGTTGTCTAATGTGTAAAGATATTGTTTCATTATTTTATCCAGTTTTCTAGTTGGCCTAAAGTGAGAGGACAAATCTTGCTCCTATTCACTTTGCTTTGTTCAGAAGTAGAAAATGTTTTTTAAAATCCTAGTTTTATCACCACCTAATACTTTTTAACTTGTTGTATTTTATGTGATATATCTATCCAGTCTAAGTTGCAAATAACAGAAACTAATTCTCATCCAACCAGAAAAACAATTTTCTGGAAGGGTTTTTAGTAACTCACCAAATTGCCGTGGAAGCAAGAGATCCAGTCTCAGAAAATGGAGGAAGAGAGGGAGGTTAAATTTTCATAACCTTATTTTTTTAAAAAAAAGGTCAGGCTACTAACGGTCCTATGAATACACTGTGTCTACCACTTTACATCACATGATTCTGGTACTTTTGTCAGTAACCATGAGCTCTGGACAGTGGGAGCAGTCAGAGGCATGGCAGCCACAGTGTCTCTGGAGATGAGATGTGGGTGCCTTGGCCACCTTCTTTCTCTGCTTCTTCAGAGACAAAAAGTCCTGATGGGTTACATTTGATTGACTGAGACTTGGTGACATGCTTGTGCCCTGATGAAAGGAAGGCTGAGAAAATATCTCAGATTTTCAGTTTTTATAGTGGGAGGAAGTCTCTACCTCCCGCTGATACTCATATGGTAGAGTTAGAGGAAGACACAGAAACAGGTTCCAATAATGAGGCACATGACACATACATACACCCATGACCTGTTCTTCCAGATAATGAGAGTGTAATAACAACATCATGAGATATTTGTGACTTTTTTATGAAGGGTCATGGGTATGCACAAAAGGAGGATAGTGCTTTCCATTCTATTGTCTCGTGACCTCTGTGCAGTCTAATTGTACCTGTGTACCCAATTTCCTTTTCAGTGGCTTTCTTCCT